GGAGCCAAAGAGACTTTGGAGAGGTGCTAGGGACAAGGAACAGGAAGAGGGACAAATTCAGGTGATTTTCCCCGAGATGGCCCTACCTGTCCTGCTCCCTGGAAGAGTGATGCATGAGCAGCCTTCTCTGAGCTGAGGCATGACAGGAGGACCAAGGCCCCTGGGTCAGCCCAGGCGCCAGTCCTCGGGACATCCTCTTAACGCTGCTCACGGTCCTCCAGTGCACGGTGTGCTTCAACACCCAGTTTGGGGAGAAAACAGCACTTCTGCCCCTTGGAAAGGTAACAGCAGCATAAAATCAGCAAATCTCTGGAAGAAGCTTTCAGTAAATGTGACAACAGCCACCTTCCGGAACTCGGATTGCAAAAAGAACTCAGCTTCTTCAAATAAATATAAACACTCCCGTGTGGGGGGCAGGGGAGAGTGTGAGTCCTGGGGATAAGAGGAGCTAGGTGGATAGATGACAGATAGCTAGCTAGATAGGTAGATAGCTAGTTAGATAGCTAGATAGATGGGTAGATAAATGATAGAGATCGAGCCATCACAGAGGGCCCTTGTACATGTCAAGGATAACAACGTGCTATGAACTAAAAAGTATGACTAACCCGGGCTTCCCACCTATGATCCAAACTCAACAGCATCAAAATTGTTAATTCGGCCAGAAAATGAGGAACTTGCTATATCTCATGTTTCCACAAAGGAGCCTGAGCAAAAGGTCCGGGAAAAGGCGGGGAATCTGAAGACGAATTCTGGTCTGACTTTGCTTAACAAGCCACGTGACCCGGGTTCTCTTCTCCTGAGCACGTGTCTCCTCCCTGCCCTGCCCAGAGGAGCAACACCAGCCCTCCTGGCATCCAAACCTCAGCCTCGCCCCACTGCCAGAGGAGGTGGCAAGTACCCACACAGCACAGTGAGAATTGAGCTGCCTTCAAGCACCCCTGGAGGCCCTCCATGCCAGAGCTTCCTTCATGTCAGGGGCTTCCTCCATACCAGGGGCTTCCTCCATGCCAGGGGCTTCCTCCATGCCAGGGGCTTCCTCCATGTCGGGGGTTTCCTCAATGTCGGGGGCTTCCTCCATGTAAGGGGCTTCCTCCATGTAAGGGGCTTCCTCCGTCTCGGGGCCTTCCTCCGTCTCACGGGTTCCTGCATGTCAGGGGCTAC